CATTTGAGGCCGAGTCGACCTAGGGGAGGCCCAGAACCGGTTCAGATATTCGTCACTGGTGTCGGCCGTGAGCGGGAATCGAACCAGGGTGGCCAGGTTCGTAGCGCAGCGCTTTCACCGCTACACCACCACTAACCGCTACACTCAACACAGCTGTCAATAAAACCGTGGCCCTATGAAGATCACACACACACACACAGAGACATATGTAAATACGTGTGTGTGTGTGTAATAGCCAACACGATGGAACATTTCCCCTTGTTATGCGTTATCTGCATGACCCGTGTTGCGCTGTGATGAAGGAGGGTTACTGCTCGAGACGTTGCCTGTGATATATTTCAGTTTTTTTTAGGTGCCACAGTGCTGTTGACGGAATGTGCTGAGCTATTACCACTTCGTCAAGTTTCACTTTGTTTTTTATGTGTGTACGCAATTAAATAATAGTAATACACAGCCGAGATGTTGTAAGGTTATAAGTTCACAACGAAGTCAAGTTCACCCATATTCAAGTTAATGAGACAACTTTGAGTTGACATTGCTTTTCAGTTGGGCATGAGAGTTTTTTTTAACAGACACAAAGGCAAAGATCCCCCGTATAGCCTTTAACGGACTGTTGAGGCAAGTGCTGTTTAACGAGTAGCTATGAAGGCCGACACGGCACACGAGGGGGTGGGTGGCCGCCTTTGTCTCCCCAATGGCGATGTTTACACACCGCAGCAGATACTCATTTGAGGCTGAGTCGACCTAGGGGAGGCCCAGGACTGGCGGTGTTGGCCGTGACCGAGAATCGAACTCGGGTCGCCAGGTTCATAGTGCAGCGTAACCCTAACCACTGCGCCTCGACATGCACACACGTGAGTTCCATCCTTTCATTGATCTGTTTTTTGTTTAAAGTTCAAAGTCACTGGGTTTCCAATTACCCAGGTTTTTGCTCGAATAAGTGCAGATAAGTCGATGATTTAAAAGTTAGCATAAAATGCTCCGCCCGGATAACATAAAATCAAAAATCAAAAACGTCGTTCTAAAATTGTATTTTTTAAACAAATTATCGAATTCATTACCAGGATAAATATTTCCAATTCCTATTTTTTCTCGATACATGCAATTGAAACAAAGTGGCAAATGTACACTACAATATCCCGTATACACCGGATTATAAGACGCACTTTTCTCTCATATTTCTAAGCAAGTATTTTGGGAGCGTCTTATATTCCGTTACTAAATGTATTTGAAATAATCCGCAAGCTGCGATTATCACAATTGGCCACGTACGGTGCCAAAGAAGTTTAACAAATACGTCGATTTTATTGATATGCAGATACACAGAATGGAGTTCTACAGACACATATATGTAATTATTTTATTTGTACGTACGGGGAACAGTGGCGTAGTGGTTAGCGCACCGGTAGTCACGAACCCGGCCTGCCGAGTTGGAATCCCTCTCACCAACAAAAAAGTGACAGCGAATATTTGAACCGGTCCTGAGCCTCCCCTAGGTTGATTCAGCCTCAAACGAGCAAGTGTGTAAACGGCAGCATTGGGGAGACAAAGGCGGCCGGGCGTGGTGTTGGCCACCCGACCCCGCGTGTACCGAGTTGGCTTTAACAATCTGCTCGTTCACAGCACTTGCCCCAACAGTCGGTTGAGGCTATACGGGCGGCGGGGGGTGGAGGTGAGAGCGAGGATCTAAGGCGTAATTCTGTGATAGCCACTTCCGCGGGCTGTTTTCTATGACGTGAAGGGTCGCACTGGCTCTGCGAATTCGCGTCATTTACGGTAAGGCTCGGGCTGATTTACAGAGAGAACCACATGGATCGGATCTCCGATTGTCACCCCGGTGGTGGAGCCCCGCTTGGCGAGAGACAGACACGCGCCTCGACCCGCCACGCACGCGGGTGGAGGCGGGGGGGGGGGTGTGCGACGCTTCCTGTAAGAAGGGGTGGCACTTTCAGAAGATCGGCTCCGATTTTCTTCAACGGTTTTATTTAAACTCTTAGGTTTTTTCGGTAAAGTCACGTAGGTAAAATAAATAATAATAAATAAATAGTACTATTTATATAAATAATAATAGAAATAATAGAATAAATCACGACGTTTCGGGCGCAACACAAGCGTCCGTCATCAGGTGGGACAACTACAGCAAGAAACAATTGCTGAAGTTGGAAAAAGAGCTCTTTAGCGCCCGAAGCGTCGTGATTTATTATTTTATTTCTATTATTATTTCTATTATTTATTTATTATTATTTATTTTTACCTACGTGACTTTACCGAAAAATGTATGAATCCTTGCGGTCACGAAAGCTTCAAATCTAGAATGGTTTAATTTAACTTGACCCCTGTTTGTCGTGGTCAAATCTTGTAATCAAAAATGTTGTCTACTTCCTATTGTGTAATCAATTCGACATTTTGCCCACGTGCTCAGATCCGGTGACAATGCCATGCAATTACAATTTTAGTATGGACGGCTTATTAATGATATATTTTTGTGTCGGTCAAAAAAACGACGCGGTCCCTAAACTGTGAAATCGCCTCGCGCAAACAAAACAACTTGTACATTGAAGATTCATTTATAAAATAACCAATTATTTCAAGTAAGCGTTGATGTGGGAGCAGTTGCCGCATCATTGACGTACTTCTCGAGGGTGAGTTAAACAAAGTTGTGAATAAAACCGTTGTTTATAAAAATACAATTTTAAGGAGTTTAATTTCTTCCACCACCCTCCAGTGACGTCGCTTCGCGTTCAGCAAAGTTTGACGGCGGTGGCCTCACTGGAGCGCTCGTGTAAGTCCCTTCAAAGTATTTCTTCTTTCGTGATTCATCTCATTGACGAAGCTTTCACAACACGCGTTGCCCTTAGATTTCCATAGCTTATAGTAGTTATCGATCAAATATAAAATAATTCTCTGATATTTGTCAATCCACGACCGCATGACATATCTCCCCGCACTGCGCCGTCGTTTACTGGGGTCGTTTGACCATACTTCACCACGCTGGGCGGTGCGGGTTGGTAGAAAGCGGGGAGTGGGGGGTGGGGGGGGGCAGCGACTAATGAGTGGTTCACAGGTAACTCACCACTGATGTGAGACGTGGCCGGGAATCGAACTTGGGTTCGTGGCGCAATAAGCGTTCCCCACAGCACCACCACCGCTCGCTCATGTAAATATTTACTTATTTTAAATCAGGAGAGGGGCAGGTAAACACATCCCTGGTAGAGATGGAGCCCCAAAATCGGATCCTATTACACAATCCGGGTGGATCGTTGGCATCGCGAGACCGCGAGGAATGTGAAGGCGGATTAATTCAGCAGCGGATAGATCATGGCTGAAGAAGAAGATGATGATGATGGCTGACGATGAGAATCTCTGTTAGCCCAGACAAACGTCTGCGTGTGCGTGGGGAGAGGACGGTGCAACGGATCGCGCACAGCGCTACGAAGACCGGCGACACGAGTTCGATTCCAGCTCGCGGCCAGCAACATCCGTGGCGATTATCTTAACCGGACCTGGGTCCTCCCCTAGGTCGACTCAGCCTCAAACGAGTACCCGATGCGGTGTGTCAATATCGCTATGGCGTGGCGCTGGCCACCCACCCCCTCGTGTTGCGTGCCGGCCTTCATAGGCGCTCGCTAGCAACACCACTTGCCCCAAACAGTATGTTACGGCTGCACAGGGGATCTTAGTCTTTGTATTGTGTGACCATGATGCACAATGGGTGACTGCGGCGTGGAGGACGGCACGTAATGAACAGCGAGGTGCAGCAATATCCACGGATGTGCTGCACTGCTACGCGTGCCCACGTCAGGTCTATGCTCTCCACCTTCGCCTAACCCCTGTACTGGTCATCCCTCGTGGTGTCGCTGTGGTCGTACGGTTTGTTGAATCAAACTCCACGCTGCCGTGGCCCGCACGGCGATCCCGACCCTGACGCCTGCCGAATATTTGTAGTTTGCGTGTCTCTCCTCTCTCTCTCTCTCTCTCTGTTTCTTTCTCTCTTTCTCTCCCCTCGTGGTCTCGTGGATTTGTCTCCGGGTCCCCCGGTGTTTCCCTCCATGTTTACAATCAACATCACGCGTTTAGAGTAATTGGCGGCTGCTATACATTCCCACACAATGATGATGAACCACTTCCGATAAAGGGCTACACAGCTCAGCGGGGGGCCTTACGTGGTAAATTAAACAAATTAAGTAAATAGTTTAGTTCTTCGCTCTCGTGGCACAGGACACGAACTCTCAGGCACATCGCTAACCCCCCCCCCCCCACTTCTCCAGGGCCGGAGGATTTCTCGCGAAATATTTACGGACCACCTGAGTCCCACAAAACAACGTCTCTGCTCCCCCCGCCCTCCCTCCCTCCCGCCGATGACAGGGAAATATTTTTTTCCGCAACTCTACCCAGGACAACTCCGTCCGAAACAAATCATCAATCAACACGAACAAACCACCAACCATACACGCACAGCGGCGACTTCGCAACGCATCAGCAGCCCCACGGGGCTTGACGATTTGCAGTCCACTCAGAATCAATTGAGTGGACATTGCGGAGGTCAGTACCCTGGACAGCTCCTGCCCGTGACCCCGCTGGCTCTCGCCTGACCCTAACAATCCCCGCGCCAATCTCGCTGATCTCGTCAAGGGGCACAAAACCACCACGTGAACTCGGGCCATCATCATCGCAACAGCAGCAGCAGCGTCTTTTGGCTGGCCCATCTTACTTTGTTTGCCCGCATCGTCGCGCGCTTTCGGATGCGCTTCCGCGGCCGTCTGGAACGCTCTTCCTTCCGATGTTAGCAAGCAACCGGAGCTGTGCAGCGTTTCAAATCGTCATCCAGATTGACAAACGCATTTCTTTAGAACCGCCGTCTTTGTCCTTAGCCCGCTTTCCCTTTCCCCGCACCTCCGATCTAGCACCGGCTGAGCCCCCGCACCTGTGCCACAGAATGCCCCGACACGCGTACGCACAGACCACGCAACCTCACAGCGCGGCGCGCGCGGGGAACGCACCGGCACGTCACGGGTAGGGGGAGGCCCGGAGAGGCTCGATGGCGGTGGGCTTAGCCAGGCTCGCCGGCGGCGCCGGTGGGAAGAGGAGGTAGGCGAGGTGGGGGCTGTTTTGCATCGCCGCTCCCCCGGCCATCGCTGCTGCTGCTGCCCAACTGTAAGGCACGAGGTACCCGGGGGGAGCGGGGACGTGGTGGTGAGGGTGGTGAGGGTGGTGGGGGTGGTGGTGAGGCGAGTGGGCATGTCCCGCCAGCACGTGGTGCTGCTGCTGCTGCTGCTCTTGCTGCTGCTGCTGATGATGGTGATGTCCGAAGTGATGCTGGTAGGCGAACGCTGCTGCTGCTGCTGCGGCCGCAGCAGTTGCAGTTGCAGCTCCACCACCGCCACCGCCTCCTGCTGCTCCTCCCGCTGCCCCGGATCCAGGCGGCGCAGGGGAGAGGTCCGCGACGCCGCGGGGCAGCAGTGAGTAGTGGGGCAGCAGCGCGCGAATCTTGTGGTGATCGTCCATGCCCTGCAGACACTGCTGCAGAGGGTGGTCCGCTCCGGAGGGCGACCTCGGACAAAGGATCGCCGCCGCTGCCGCCTGCTGCTGCTGCTGCTGATGGTGCTGCTGATGATGCTGCTGATGCTGCTGGTGCTGCTGGTGCTGGTGATGCAACTTGGCCACGTGGTCAGCGTCGGCCGCGAAGTAAGGGAAAGGGAAAGCGAAGCGGTCCTTCTTGAGCGCCAGCATGGACTTGGGCTTGCGGCGCGGCCGGTACTTGTAGTCGGGGTGTTCCTTCATGTGCTGGGCACGCAGTCGCTTCGCCTCGTCGATGAAGGGCCTCTTCTCGGCCTCGGTGAGGAGCTTCCACTCGGCGCCGAGACGCTTGGAGATCTCCGAGTTGTGCATCTTGGGGTTGTCCTGAGCCAACTTGCGGCGTTCGCCCTTCGACCAAACCATGAACGCGTTCATGGGGCGCTTCACGTGAGCGTCGCCCAGGACTGCCGTGGCCCCGCCTGGTTTGGTGGTCATCGCCGGGAGTTCTGGTCGTGGTTGATGGTGGTGGTCGTGGTTGGTGGTGGTGGTCGTGGTGCTGGGTGGGGTGATGGAGGTAGATGTCAGCCACGGTGCGGTTGTGTTTGGGTTGGTGGCTTCTTGATGGCTTGGTGCCGATTGCGAACTCTCTGAGTAGGGGCTCAGACAGTCGATGAGATGGTCACTGGGGGAGGAGAAAGGCGGGGTGTGTGTGTTTTAACGGAGAGATTTAAAAAAAATACAAAGATCCCCCGTACACCCTCAAAAGACTGTTGGGGCAAGTGCTGTTAGCGAGCAGCACTTATGAAGGCCGGCGCAGCACACGAGGGGGTGGTCCGGTCGCCTTTTTGTCTCCCCTGTGACGATGTTTACACAGCTGAGTCGACATAGGGGAGGCCCAGGACCGGTTCAGATAATCGTCAACTGCTGTTGGTGGCCGTGAGCGAGAATCGAACTCGGGTCGCTGGATTCGTAGCGCTACGCGCTCACCGCTCCCCACACGTATACTGTATATACACTCACGGATATTAACACACACATATATATAATCACACATACAGATGTCCATATATATACTCACACAGAGAGATGTTCACACGCACGTGAACACACAGATATAGCAGTATACACACAGACACGCAGATGCGGATTAATTCACAAACACACAGACGTAAAGACACACACTCAACAACGCGCACACACACGCGGGCATACACTCAAACATACACGTAACATTATATGTATGTACAGATACACATGCACACCGAGACACACATAAACACGCACACGTAGTGACACACGTGCATAACACACGCGTACAGAGAGACAGGCACTCACAAACACACACACTCATACACACACACACTCATACACACACACACTCATACACACACACACAAAGACACGCACTCACAATCACACACACACTCATACACACACAAAGACTCACACACACTCATACACACACACAAAGACACGCAACTCACGATCACACACACACTCGTACACAATCACACACACACTCACTATCACACACACACTCATACACACACAAAGACACGCACTCACAATCACACACACACAAAGACTCACAATCACACACACTCATACACAATCACACACACTCATACACACACAAAGACACGCACTCACAACCACACACACACTCATACACACACAAAGACACGCAACTCACAATCACATACACACTCACACACACACAAAGACACGCACTCACCATCAAACACACACTCACACACACACAAAGACTCACAATCACACACACACACTCATATACACACAAAGATACGCACTCACAATCAAACACACACTCATACACACACACTCACACACACACAAAGACTCACAATCACACACACACTCATATTCACACAAAGATACGCACTCACAATCACACACACACTCATATACACACAAAGATACGCACTCACAATCACACACACACTCATATACACACAAAGATACGCACTCACAATCACACACACACTCATACACACACACAAAGATACGCACTCACAATCACACACACACTCATACATAATCACACACACACTCATACACACACAAAGACACGCACTCACAATCAAACACACACTCATACACAATCACACACACACACACAACCACACACACACTCATACACACACAAAGACTCACAATCACACACACACTCATACATACACACACAAAGACACGCAACTCACAATCACACACACACTCATACACACACACACAAACACACACACTCATACACAATCACACACACACTCATACACACACACAAAGACACGCACTTACAATCAAACACACACTCATACACACACACAAGGACACGCAACTCACAATAACACACACACTCATACACACACAAAGACTCACGATCACACACACACTCATACACACACACAAAGACACGCACTCACAACCACACACACACTCATACACACACAAAGACTCACAATCACACACACTCATACACACACAAAGACTCACAATCACAAACACTCATACACACACACAAAGACACGCACTTACAATCACACACACAAAGACTCACAATCACACACTCACACACACACAAATACTCGCAAACACACACTCACACACTCATACACAAAGACACCCAACTCTCACTCACAGACAAAAAAACAAAACAAATATTCCATATATCGTCTTACAGTCACATACCGACACTCATACATACATATAAAAGACAAAGATCCCCTGTATAGCCTTGGCTGACTGTTGGGGCAAGTGCCGTTTTGCGAGCACCACCACCTATGAAGGCAGGCACCTCGGCGGGCCGCCTTTGTCTCCCCGATTCTGTTATTGACAAAAGGCACCAGGTACTAATTTAAGGCTGAGTCGACTTAGGAGACGTACAGCACCGGTTCGAATAATCGTCACTGGCATTGGCCGTAAATGGGATACGAACTCGGGGTTCGGGGTTCCGTGGCGCAGCGCGCTAACCGCTGCACCACCGCTCACCGCACGCGCACACAAACAAAGACAAAGATCCCCCGTACAGCCTCAACAGACTGTTGGGGCAAGTGCCGTTAGCGAGCAGCACCTATGAAGGCCGGTACGGGCAACACGAGGGGGTGGGTGGCCAGCACCACGCCCGGCCGCCTTTGTCTCCCCGAGTGCTGACGTTTACTGCACTTTGCGGCGGGTGCTCGATTTGAGGCTGAGGCGACGTGTGTGTAGCCCAGGACCGGTTCGGATATAATCGTCGCCGGTGTTTGCCCTGAGTGGGATACCAACTCGGGTAGACCGGTCGGTGGAACAGCGCGCTAACTGCATCTGCGCACACACACACGTACAGACATAGGGTGCTCGCTAACAGCACTTGCCCCAAAAGTCCGTTACAGGCTACACGGGGAACCTTTGTCTTTGTGCGAGTATCCGCATGCGTCTTATTTGTCCCTGTGTTAAGTGACTCGCATTTGTGTGTCCGAGTGTTTGTACGCCTGTGTGTATGTATGTATATCTATGTGTGCGTGTAGGATCAGTGATGTCGCTTTTGTATTTGTTTTACTAATGTTAATTTAAATAGATATATTAACACGCATTGTTTTGCTGTGTTCACTGTGGTGTGTGAGCTGGTCAGCGTGTGTGTGTGTGGGTGGGGAGCGGTGGTGTAGTGGTTATCGCGCTGTGCTAAGATACCTGGCGACCCGGGTTCGATTCCCCGCTCACGGCCAACACCGGTGATGATTATCAGACTCGGTCCTGGGCCTCCCCTAGGTGGACTCGGTCTCAAAGGAGTACCTGGTGCGGTGTGTAAACATCGCCGCTAGAGAGACAAAGGCGGCCGGGCGTGGTGCTGGCCACCCACCCCCTCGTGTGCCGTGCCGGCCGTTATAGATGCTCGCTAACAGCACTTGCCCATACAGTCTGTTAAGGCTACACGGGGGATCTTTGTATTTATCTTTGTAGCGTGTGTGTGTGTGTCCCTCTATACAGATATATGTCCTTGTGTCTGTTCATGCGTCTGCGTGTTCGTTACGTTTTCTGTTGTTCTCCAGCGCCCTGTGTAGTTACGTCTGAACGTCTGTCTGTCCTCCCCCCCTGTATCCATACCGATGTCTGTCTCTCAAATGTGTCTCAAATGTGTCTCACTCGTGTCTCACTCGTGTCTCTCCGCCTCGTTGTCCGAATCGAAGGTGTCTATGTGGTCCCAAACGTCTGCGCATGTATCTCTCCCTCTGTGCCTATCTTACATCCCCCCTGTCATTGAATATTCCACGTGTCTCTCTGCATGGCCGTTGTGTCTACAGTTAGTTCCCGTGTGTGCGTGCGTCTGCGTCTCTCTCTCTCTCTGTCTCTCTGCAGCTGATGCCGTGTCTCCCTCCCTCTGCCTTGCCGTGTCTCTCTGTCACCCGCGCGATCCGTCCGCTATGTCTACGTGGATCTGCATCCAATCGTCTACCCACAAACCAAACTCGCCAGTGACCCTAATGACTCGCTCAGCTCCCCACGCGTTCGCTGTCTTCGTAGTCGACTCACTGCGCTCGCTGGCTGCGTTTCACAGTCTCCGTTTCTCCACCCAACAGTCACGGACTCCACCTTGTACGTGTCGCTCGGCCCACTCACTTCCCCTACCAAATTACACACCCGTCCAATCGCACCCCCGTCCACGCAACAACCCCTTGTTCACTCGCAAAGCCACTGACTCACTCATTCACTCGGCCGCCCACTCACTCATTCACCCGCTCACTCATTCACTCACCCGTTCGACCATCCACCCACCAACTCACTCACCCACCTACGACTCACTCGCTCGACACTCACCCACACATCCTCTCTCACTCCTCCACCCACTTACTCGCTCACCAACTCACTTTTTTAGTGTGTCTCTCTCTCAGCGCCGTTCCCGTGCGCGTCTCTTCGTAGCGACGGCGACAACAACAGAGAGCCAGGAAACTCCGCGTCAAATCGCACTCCACCAGCCGCGTCTCCTCCTCCTTCTCGAGCGCTCCCCCTCTCCGCTGCCCGGAGTCGGATTGGAACTCAGCGGGATGAGATTCCCAGGGCACGCAGTGAGCAGGTAACGCGGCCAAGCCGTGACGACCCTTGTCCTCTTTGTAACTAAATGGCAACCTTCTGATGTTGTCACTTCTCTGCCACGAGGAAGGAACGGTCGCTCTCTCTCTTAGTCCTTGATGAGTCTCGATGTCCTTCTTCTTCCAGCGACCACGTGGGGCTAGAGAGGGGGGGCGGTGTAGAGAAACCTTGAGCAAGGAGCTGAGGGTGGTGGGGGGCAGCGAGTAGATGCGAGAGCGACGTCGCGACTGCTCGTCTCGACGTCTCTGGCGGACCCAGACTCACACGAGTATGTTTCCCTCCCTCCCTCTCTCCTCCCTCCCTCCTACCTCCCTCCCTCCCTCCCTCTCGTCTCCTCCCTCCTACCTCCGTCTCGCAGTGCTGTTGATACAACCCAGCGGGCACGCCTCCTCGCACCGAGAACACCTCCCATAATTACTGGGGCGTTCCTCCTCCTCCTCCTACCTCCACCCTCCTACCTCCTCCTCCTTCCCCCTCCTACCCCCTCCACCTCCTATCTCCTTCCTCCATCCTCCTTCCCCCTTCTCCTACCTCCCTCCTCTTCCTACCTCATCCTCCTACCTCCTCCTCCTCCTCCTCCTATCTCCCTCCTCTTCCTCCCTCCCTCCTCCTCCCCCCTCCTCCTCCCCCCTTCTCCTCCCTCCAGATGAATGCTTCCCCTGGCTCCTGCACCTCTATCGCTTCACCCGCTGCTCCCTCCTGGTCCCAACCTCCCACCTTCATCTGTCTGTGAATGGCGTTTGTTGTTGGGTGCCGCTGCTGAGTCGGCAGTGGCGCACAACGAGCAACCAACGTCGACACATCCCTCAATCGCCACCGCGTTGCCAGTCAAAGTGGAACCTGCACAATTGGCGACGTTTCCTGCAGAGCACGAAAAAGGGCCATTGCCCGAAACGTCGCCTATTATATAGTGGGAGGGGGGGGGTTATTCAAGTCCGAATGCGTTCAGTTTTTCATTGTAACTAAATCTCCCTCCACGTACCCCCTGCACCTGACTCCTACCTCTCTGCTGCTCCCACCTTATCCTACCTCTGCATCGCTCCTCTTCGTACATCTTCAAACCTGCCGCTCTCCCCTCCTCCCTCGTGCTCCCACGCGTCCTCACCCGCACACGATCACGGGGGTCTCCTCTGCGCGGCACTGCCCGGGCAAGTGCAGCGAGCGGGCGGCTACATTGAAGGTTCGTCACGGGGCTCGCCACGAGGGCGATTTGGCCAAAAGCACGTCCGGTTCCCCCCCGTGTCTCATCCAGTAGTGGATCGACAAAGGGCTGCACAACTTTCTGAGCGCGCGTTAAATTCAGTTGTTGTTGGCTTTGCGTTCGAACCAAGGTTGCACGTGGGGTTGTTTTTGTTCATTTTTGTTTTTGTTTGGAGTCGCCCCGTCGGGCCGATGTAGTTCGCGAAGGGAATTCCGCCGACTTCGGGGGGCTGTGGGCATCGCGGTGCTGAGAGATCTTTTTTTATTTGGATTCGCGCGGAGTGTGACGGCGAAAGCAGTAAATAGCGGCCGGAGTGGAGCCCTCCAGCTCGCTGCTGCCGTTCGCGCGGAATATCGAACGCGCGTTTCACGAACCTCTCCCCCCACCTCCTCGTCCCACCGCCGCCGCCGCCTTTGCCTCTGTTGGCATGGTGCTCGGACCGTCGGCCAACAGTGAAGTGACGACTGAGGTCGCCAGGTCGCTGTACCGCCGGTGGGTCAGAGCCGGACTAAGTTAGTGCGGGGCCTGTTACAATGATGTTTTAAAGGGGCCCTAAATTTAGTTTTTTTAAACACACAAACATAAATATTAAAACACAATATTTTACTTGCATAGTAAAGTAATTGTATTTTTTTCATTTGCTATACAGCCAGATAATACGACAAATCGCTAATCTGAAACACCCAGTCGTTCGTAAAAGCTGAAGGCGGTATAGTACTATAGTAATAGAGCAAGTGCAAAATCACTGAGCCGGAATTGATAGCTTGAAAGCATTTAGCGCGTGGCCCTTGCAAGTGCGGGGACGGTAGCATCGTGTGTAGCTACTTGTGCTACCGGGATCATCCGGCACTGACTGTGGGGATGAACAGCGTGGTTAGAGGAGGCCAAGCGTCCTGCCAACGGCGTCTTCGTGAGCTCGGCGATTATTGTTGTGTTCAGGGCTGCTCCTTTACCCAGGGCATGTGTACACGGAGGCAAATGATGGCTCTGTTGGCAGTAAAGCCACACGCGCCATGCTCAATCCACTGCTGGATAAAGACGTCTCCAAGACGCCCCTACCGGATTCTAGATTTGAAGCTTTCGTGACTGCAAGGATTCATGCTCTTAGTTTTTTCGGTAAAGTCACGTAGGTAAAAAAAATGAAATAAAAAAATATATATATTCTTATTAAATGTTTTATTAATTTTAATTTCATTTTTTTGCCCCTACTGGACATCTATAAAAAAGAGCTTTATCGCTCATCACATTCCTCCAATATAAAAAAAACGTTCTGGATTCTGTCTCGTACGAAAGAAATAAATGAAGGTTACACGGAGAACGTTGTCTTTGTGTGTCGCTATGTGAGTGTTTAAAGCGTATGCGCGTGTTGATATGTGCTATCCTGTGTATGTGTGAGCATGTGTCGGAGTGTGTGTGAATCCTGACTGTACGTGTATGTTATGGTGAGCGGTGGCACAGTGGTTTGCACACTGCGCTACGAATCCAGCAACCCGAGTTGAATTCCCGCTCACGACCATATGTTAACCTTTCCTAGACCGCCCCTAGGTCGCCTCAGCCTCAAACGAGTACCTGGTGCATTGTGTAAAGATCAGCACTGGGAGACAAAGGCGGCCGGGCGTGATGTTGCCCACACAGCTCCTCTTTTGCCGTGCCGACCTTAATAGGTGCTCGCTAACAGCACTCACGTTCTGTTACAGGCTATGGGGGGGGGGTAATCTTTGTCTTTGTGTACGAATACTGAACTCTAACTCCGATTAGCACGGTTGGCTATGTGCGAAATAAGTTGAACACACTTACAACGCTAGTGTGTGTTGCTATGTACGTAGCCATGTGTGTTGATGCATTGCATATGGGGTGCGGTGGGGTAATGGTTAGCGCGCTGCACTACGAATCCGGCGACCGAGGTTCGGTTCCCGCTCACGACCAACACCAGTTATAGCGATTATCCGAACCGATCCTGGGCCTCCCCTAGGTCGACTCAGCCTCAAATAAGTCGTGTTGTGCTGTAGCGGCCTTCATAGGTGCTCGCTAACAGCACTTGCCCTACGGGCTGTACAGGGGATCTTTGTCTTTTTTACGCGTTACATAGCCCGATACGTTTCATGTAATGTATCGTAGTTTCACTCGCACGGTCAATAAAAAAAAAATATTTGCAAGCTGCAGATATTTTTTCTCGGGGAAAGTTATGTGAGCGAGCACCTATTAAGGCACACAGGGGGTGGTTTGACTATCAACAACGCCCGGCCCTGTTCGTCATCTTCGTGCTGACGTTTTGACACAACCGCACGATGTCCTCAATCAAGGCCGAGAATACTCGTTGCCAAGAATGTTAACCGTGACCGAGAATTAAAACAAATAAGTAGTTTGCGCTAATCACTGCGCCACTGCTCCTTACAAATTGACGCACAATTAACGCCCATTTCAAACATTCTGATTACAGGCGCGTGTCAATCTCACTCTCCAATCACACTCACGTGCAAAGACATTCATACGTTAATATATATTGTTTTATATATATATGTGTTTGTATATCTACTTGTGGTGTTTGTCATTCTTCTTCTTTAGTGCTGCCTAACGGCGTGTGCGACTTCACGATGATATTGGTCCCGGTCTAGCACGGCGTGTAGAGTTTGTGCTGTTGTTAATTGTAGCCATGTTTTGAAGTTACTGAGCCATGTCGTTTTTGGCCGTCCTGGTCGTTTTTTCCCTTCGATTTTTCCTTCCAGGATTTGCTTTAATAGCTGGTATTGGTGGTCGTTTCGGGCAATGTGGCCTAGGTAGTAACACTTCCTGCTAATGATGGTCTTCAGCAGTTGCCTGTCAGTGCCCATATCTTGCATACCTTGTGTATTGGTGGTTTTGGCTGTCCATGGGATTTTCAGCATTCTTCGATACAGCCACATCTCGAAAGCTTCGAGCCTTTTTGTTGCTGTTGTTGTCAGTGTCCACGTCTCTACTCCGTACAGCAAAATTGACCAGATGCAGCATTTCAGTGTGCGCAGTTTCAGTGATGTAAACTCAATTCTTTGGGTCTTTCTGTAAAGCCACGTAGATAGAATTTTTTTAATAAACATAATAATAACGACAGTATCACGTCGTTTAGTGAATGTAACTCAGAGAGTCTAAAATAACTGCTAACATCGGTAGGTAGGAAGGGAATAACACAGCCAGTTATGACCTAAACTGCTTAATAACGTCCTTCCAATGATTGCTCAGTTTGTATCGATCTTCTCGGTTGAAATTGTGTCTGTGTTTAAATATCTGGATGGCTTCATGGACGAATCTTTGCTGATAGCCAGTGGGTTTGCAAACCTACCCATCTGAGTAGTTATTTTCGACTCTCTGAGTTGCATTCACTAACACAGCCACCGTTCGCTGTGTTAGTGAATGGCGACCTGCCATCCTTGTCCACCTCCACTTGGAGATGTCTATTTCCAAGCTCTCTCCGAGCTTACATTCACAAACAAATGTCTTACATTGACATGCAAATCTCTCGCAATACAATCGCCACCCCCACAGCTTCGTTTGTCAAGATTTATCCGATCTTACATTTACATGCAAATTGAATCTCTCTCCCCGCCCAATGACCCTTGGGTTACACCCAACTCAAACCTTTATAACTTCCTGCCTGAGCAGCGCTCCCGACAGATATTATTTCCAGCTTCAGCAGCGCTCACCTGATGACGATTGCTTGTGTTGCTATCGAAACGTCGTGATACTGTCATTATTAAATTTTTATTATATTTACGTGGCTTTACCGAAAGACCCAAAGAACATGAATTCCTGCAGTCACGAAAGCTTTAAGTCAAGATGTATACTCAATGTCCACTCACACGGTATATTCCAGATTATTAAGACGAACTTTCGTCCTGTGATGGGGCTGAGTCTTGTAATCTTGACACATAGCATGCGTTTGGGGTGCGCTCTGTCTGGAACGTCTAATAGTGAATCCCAAACGGTTCATTATTCTCAACACAGCCGATGT